GATCTGAAAAATGAAAGCATCTTCAAAATGCAAGTATCACAAAATGCAAGCTGTAGATTTGTGAAATTTAGTATTCACAGACATCACAAGCTGCAACAATTGACATCTTGATCACAGACCATGTAGCCTGGTAAAAGATTACATTACTTTTTTCAAAGATCAAAGGTCCTGTTCCATTCAAATTACACTTATTGTCACATTTACACTAATATTTTATCTATTATTAATTGTAGTAACATAGCATCTTACATCCCTGCTCATGGATCAGGACCCAGGTCTACTATGCATCAAGTCTGTTATACAGAGATAAAAGTAGGCATTTATCAAAAAGCCTACTTTTAAACAAACTAGTGTTCTTCCCTCTAAATCTAAGGGGTAGGGAGGAAGCACAGAAATCTCATTGTGCATAAATACTCTGATATAATTCATTATATTTTAAAATGAATTCTCAAAGGAAAACAAGCTTGTTTTTAATGTGCAGTTTCAGATAACGACATCGACTGTCAATGTATGTCAGTTTTTGACAGCTTACAGTTTTTTTAATTGAAAATCAAGATGATTTAAATTATAATGGAACACTACTGATAAACACAGAACTCAGGAAAGTAACGGTAGTTATTTCCGCTGCAACTTAGTGAAACTTCCTATCTACAGTAAGACAGAAGTATTACCACATATATTAAATAGACATCCTTGTAGTTGGCATATACACAGCAACTTTGTATATAACCCAAAGTTTTAAAATTGTTATCCTTGATATTAAGTTACAGAAGTCCTGCCAGACAGAGCTGACTCAAGATGTAGCAACCCTCAGCACTTAATATAGTCTCACTGTGTCATTCATTAATTGACCACATTAAAAGCTGTACTGTCAATTGTCAGGAATCAAAGGATACAACTGATAAACACAAACATAAACATGCCCTTTTATATGCCCTCGTAATATATTTATTGATACATTTAATCAACCTTAAAGCTATTATGAGCATTTGTATTTCCCCGTCATGCCCCTCCCATCCAGTACTGCTTCCTCTTGCACTTTTCTCTTTCTTTTACAGAGAAGCCCCACCACCCTTTATTTCCCTGTAACTTCCAAGTCCTCCTTCCCTTTCTGGCCTCCTTCACTGTTAACTGAATTTTAAACAGATTAGTTGTGATTTAAGAGTCTAAGTACAATAGCTCAATACCATTAAAATTACTCAGACCAGTCCTATGTACAATCGGTCCCATATTGGATCAGCATCAGTGAATTACTTCTAATAACACTCTTGAATATATGGAGTCTGATATACATAATCATGTTGTGAGCCGAACAAGAACTAACAATCCAAGTCACACAGAAAAACTAGAACAGATTGCCACAAAACCTGCGTACCAGTAAAGTTCACATAAAAGTGTGCGCCGGGCCCAGAAATAGGGGGAAATTACTGCAGCCACATGTATGGATGAAAAGGCAGCAGTGCAGCTTCTAAGGTCATGCCTATTCAAAAGGAGACTGACACGGAAAGTGACAGCGTGAGTGAGACTCCTCCATTAGGTTCCCGACGCTTTGCTGCAGCGGCCTGGGTGGGACGGGTTGGCAGCCCGTCCTTGAATGCTAAGGGCGTGACCAGGCCCTGATGTGAAACAATGTCTCCGTCCTACAGGCAAAGGCAAGACAAGCCCTTTCTAGCCGCTCCCTTCCAAACTCTCCCTGCCTTTTTCTAGGTGTAACAATCAGCGGGGCGTGAAGCCAAGCAAAGCGCCGGGTGTCAGAGGCACCGGGCAGGGAGGATTTGAGGGGAAACCGCTCAGACCCGGGCGTGTTTGGAGGCTCGCTTTCCTGTGCCAACGACACGGAGCTTGCTGCCGGGCTCGCTCGGAGCGGGGAGCCCCCCTAACTGGCGCCGAGGGGCTCGTGGGCTGGCGCTGCAGCGAGGAGGC